CCCCCAAAACCCCAAAACCCCAAAACCCCTCTTTTCCAGATAAAATTGTGAGATTCAACTGATATCTCTCCTGATAAATTTTAGATGAGCTATAGATTATCCAGGAGGGAAATTTTAGCCTTTATCACATCTATCAACATCTCATTAAGGTTTTTAGTTTGGTCTATAGATATATTTCCTGTATTTTTATTCCTAGAGCGGTTATTAGTCAGCGTGCCTAAGGTATTTCTCCTGCATGTCTTCATTAGCGGAGATCTGGTGGGATTTATCTAATACGAAGTCAAACTTTTCCAGTCCCTTCTTGTCCTTAATCTCTGAGTCCCACTGATACGGCTTGTATGGCTTGTAATCCTGAGAATCTCTGTCTCCTGTTGGACCTTTCTTTCTTCTCTTATTTTCAAGGTATTTCAACTCAATAGGCTCTTTCTTTACCTTAGGAGGTGGAACCATAGGATTTGGCTTGAATTTCTTCCTTTTGTACTTCTTGTTAGCAGAGGAAAGTGACCCAGATCTCTTGATTAACTATTTTTAAGCAAGATTTATACCTTATTTTCATCCTCAGAATTCTCCTGGATTAACGGGGACTTTCTGGAATGATTGGTTGAGTATTCTAGACTTATTATCAGCCAATTACCATTATGACTCTTATTATGATGCGATCTGTTAAGAAGTTCAATCCGGCTTTTAACTTCATCTTGCTTATCTTTAGAGATGACTGGTCGATATCACTCTCTCACATTGTGATCATAATTCTTGATCCTGTTTTTACGTAGCTTTGCCAACTCTTCTTTTAGCTTAAATTTTTCTTTAAATTTTAGATTTTCATTGATTATATCTTGAAGATGCTTGGACTTGTAAACACGGCTCTAAGAGATGAAGGACGAAGCCTACTTTAGCTCTTCTATTTTCACAAAATTTCATTTGTATCTCATGTTTTCTATCCATTATTTTCTTCTGAAGTAGAGCTTCCTTAATATGCTTGTAGTTCCTTGAGTGACGATCTAATTCTTCCATATCAACTGCCTAGAAGTATTTGGAACATTACACACCTCTTTCGGGTAGATTGTCTTGGTGCTTAAGCTATGAAGATGGCTATACTCTTCCTCAAGCTTCTTGTGCAAGGGGATAGTTTCCATTATCTTCTTTAAGCGTTGATTTCCTGTTTTCCTATAAATATCAAACTGATAATACAATAGTTCCTTATTTTTCTTATGTCGCGAGTGTCTTTGATCTGCAATTTGCATTAGGTATTCCTTGCGTTCCTTAAGCTAAACTATATCATCGCCTTATTACCTTCTGGTCCTTTAGGAGGGCTTGGCTTTCTCTGTCTTTCTCAAGCAGCTGCTGAATTTTGTTTTGTTCGTATTGCCTAATTTTCTGGACCACTAAAACTTTTAATATGGGTCTAACTTCTTTCTCTTATTCTATTTATCCTTTTTAATTTCTTCAAATGTCTTATTCGAGTCCGATTGAGGGTCTAAACTGGAGGTTTAGAGACTCTCGTTATCAAATTTCAAATATAGTGAGCATCACTAACCTGTGGAGGTCCTCATGGGATTATAGGCATCTATATCCTTCATATTAACATTTTGTGACTGGGAATTCGGAAGGCTCTCGAAATTCCGACTATCTTTTGTATCGAATATTTGGGAATAACTATTGAATCCTTTCTCCTTAATGAAATGAGGCTTCTCAAGACCTAGAGATTAAGGTAGGAATTACGAAGAGAATTCTGTAGATGAGCTACTTCTTGAGCGATTTGTTCCTCTTTCAGTTTAGAAAGAGATTCAGAGAATTTAGAGGGGTTAAAATCTTTCACACATAGACTTCCTCGCCTGATCCTATCAGCCACCTTCCACGCTACTTCCTCCTGGTATTCATGGGAAAACTACTTGTCATTACCAAAACCTTACGTATCCTTCAGAGGTGTAACCCTGACATTTGTCCCTCATCTTGGCCATGAACTGCTCTCGAGTCAGAACCTAAGCTATCAGTTGGGATGATACCTTCTCAGGAACCGGCTTAGCAGCCGGCTTTATCTTCGGAGGTCTGAAGTTAAGGTCCTGGTGGCCGGGAAGTTTTGAAACCGATTTAGTGTCTAGAATATCATTAGTCTAATACCACGCCCTTCTTTGGGAAAAGGCAGATCTTTATCGGCAGCCCTCTTAGGGGAGTTTTTGAGCTCGATTTTGGTACTCTTTTGAGGGGATTTAGAGCGATTTTTATTTGGGGTTTTATTGTTTTCATACACTTCTTTCTTTTCAGATTTCTTATCGACTGATTGTTTTTCTGAAACCTTGGTCTCCTAAGAAATTAGTCAATATTTATGGTATAATCTGATCAGAAAGAAGAGATTTGATGGTCTTTACTTCATCAGCTTTGCTTTTATATTCTTTATCTTTATATTTGTCCTTCTTATCTTTTTTATTCATTTTGTCTTTCTTATCTTTCTTATCTTTCATACCTTTTCCTTCACACAAAATTAATCTCAAACAAATCATAAAAACACATTTCAAAAAGCAAATTAGTTCAGAATTCAACTTTATACTCAACCATACCTTTATCTTCTCTCTTGTCTTTTTCCTTCTTGTCTTTTTTCTCTTTCTTTACCATATTTTATATTAAACCTAAAATGGGGTTTTGGGGTTTTGGGGTTTTGGGGTTTTGGGG